TCCTTGGCCTTTTTTTCCTTCTTGTGTTTTTTAAGCTTCTTGCCAACTCTGGTCACCTCGTCACTTGGTCTGCGGTCTGGGGAGGTCTTTGTCCCTGAGCCATGGGACACAGCCAGAGTTAACAAGGACTTCCTCTTTGTCTTCTTCTCCCCCCTGCAGACCTCAGAGTAACCAAGGGACTGCTTCCTGGGGCTGGGTGACTTGTCTGCTGGTCGGGCGTGCAACCGGGTCTCAGATTATGGCGGCTCCTCACTAAGGGTGCTATGGCCCTTCCTCCTCCTCCTCCTCCTCTTCTTCTTCTTCTCCTTCTTCTCCTTCTTCTTCTTTTTCTTCTTCTTCACTAGAGGCATCTCAGATGCCTGTCCTCAGACCACATTCTTAGAGAGGGATGTGGCTCTTACAGGAGAACTGTCAGAGAAATACTTATCATTGTGTAAAACTGAGTATTGAGTCTCTGGTTCTTTGACCACCTTCTTCTTCATCTTCTTCTCTGGGAGCCCAAGGCCCAGGTCTACTTTTTGGGTCTTAGTGATCATTCCCGTAAGCCAGACTTCCCCGCCTCCACGTGAAAACCCCTAATTACCAGTGTTTTCGTTTATCTAAAATGTTGCCACAGTTGTAAAAACCATCTCCCGTTACAAAACAAACAAACAAACAAAACTAACAAACAAACAAAAAAAACAGGAACCTCACTGGCTTTAATCTTTTTTAAAATGTCCTAAATCTTTTTTTTAAGAGATTTTTGGAGAGACCAGCAGTTAGCGTAATGGCTATGTCGCTGGACTCCCACGTAGTTACTGACTGCAATTCAAGTCCCAGACCCAGTGGCTTAAACTCATGCCAGCACGTGTGCATGTGTGCCCAAGATCCTGAGAAGAAAATGGAGGAGAAGGGATTGTGGTGTGGCCATCTCCCTTGGGGAGTGATTTCTGGCTTTCTGTCTCTCTGTCTCTCTCTGTCTGTCTGGCGAGTGCACATGCCCTATAGCAAAAACCTCTCAAAAAAAAGAAAAAAGAGAGAGAAATTTTTCACTTTAGAGTGCATGTGCTACCTGGAGAGACAGAGAGACAGAAAGCCAGAAATCACTCCCCAAGGGAGATGGCCACACCACAATCCCTTCTCCTCCATTCTCCTCTCAGGATTTTGGGCACTTATGTATAAACGTCCGATGCAAGTTTCAAGCAGCCGAGTCCAGGACTCAAATAGCAGTCAACCACGGGGAGTCCAGTGCCTTAACCACTATACTACCTGCCGGCCCCAAAACTGTCCTAAATCTTTTTTTTTTTTAAGACAATAAATACATTTTTTTATTGAGACTTTTAGTTTACAACATGAGTTAAAAAGAAAAACAGATCTCAACCAGTATTTTACGCAGCTGTAGTAAAATATTTTAGACTTTAGGGATTTATAAGGGATTATATTTCTCAAAAGGTGAGGTCATGTTATAAATAAGTTTTAACTCCTCCAATTTTCCAGTCGAGTCTTACCTTATACTAACAAGCTCTAATTAGCTACATAACTTTTTTCAAGGCCAAATTTTATCACTGTTGATGTCTTCAGATCTGAAGAACTGCTAGTTCAGTCAATATCCACTAATTCTACTTCAAAAAAGAATTTTGCATTTGGTGGAATTCTTCATATGATCTTTTTCAGTGTTTTTTTTTTTTTTTTTTTGGAGAGATTTTTGCTATAGGGTGTGTGCGCTTGCCAGAGAGACAGAGAGACATAAAGTGAGAAATCACCCCCCAGGGGGGATGATCACACCACAATCCCTTCTCTTCCATTCTCCTCTTTTGGGATTTTGGGCACACATGCACACGTGCCTGGGGTGACATTTTCTTTTTTTTGAGAGGTTTTTGCTATAGGGCCCGTGTACTTGCCAGAAAGAGAGAGAGAGACAGAAAGCAAGAAATCCCCCCCCAGGGGGATGGCCACGTCACAATCCCTCCTCCTCCATTCTCCTCTCAGGATCTTGGGCATGCACGCACACACACCCGGCGCAAGTTCAAGCCACCGGGTCTGGGACTTGAACTGCAGTCAGCAACATGGGAGTCCAGCCATATAGCCATTACACCAACTGCTGGTCCTGAAAATAAACAAATTTTAAAATAGTTTGATATATGGGCCAGCAGGTGGCAGGGTGGTTAGGACATTAGATTCCGTGTGGCTGACCATGATTCGGTGCTGGACCCTGCTGCTATGAGGTACATGCCAGGCATGATGTAGGTGCATATCCCAAATCCCAGGAGACTGGAGGAGAGGGGGACTGTGCTGTGGCTGTCCCCCTCTGGGGGGGGTGATTTCTCAGTTTCCCTCTCTTTGTCTCTCTCTGGAGAGCATTTATGCCCCATGACAAAAATTAAAAAAAAAAAAATTGGTGCATTATTCCTATGGCTATGTCCATATGCTAACTGACCTCATTTATAGACATTTATCAGTTACATTAAGCACTGTAAAATAAAGCAAGAGATAAATACCTTTAATAAAAATACTACACAAAAAAATACTGTATACAACAATTACAACATCAAAGATATTTTTTAGTGACCAACAATGAACTATCCTATAATGTGAAACAGAATACATTTACTGGATTGTTTTTAAGACTGCAGTTGGGGACGGCAGGTGACTTGGCAGTTAAGGGTGCTGGACTCCCAGATGGCCGACTGTGGTTTGAGTCCCAGACCTGGCGGCTTGCTCTCTCTGTCTCTCTCTCTTGCTATCCCTCTCTGGTCAAACTGAAATAAATAAATGAATAAATAAAGTTAAATAAAATAATTAGAAAAAAAAAGACTGCAGCTGTCCTCTGGCACCCAAAGCAAGGATGTCCCATAAATATAATCCACCATGAAACCCACTTAATTAGTTTCAGTTTGTATCTGGGCTGGCCCCATGGTCTAGTGGTCTAGAGAGTAGGATCCCACATGGCTTACAGTACAGGTTTTTGTCTGTCTTTTTGAGAATATTTCCCTATAGGGATCATGCACTCACCAGAGAGACAGAGAGAAAGAAAGTGAGAAATCATCCCCCCGGGGGATGGCCACATTGCAATCCTTTCTCATCCATTTTCCTCTTGGGATTTTAGATTTTAGGCGCGCGCGCGCACACACACACACACACACACACACACACACACACACACTTGGCATGAGTTTCAAGCCCCCCAAAGCCTGGAAATTGAACTGCGGTTGACCATGTGGGAGTCCAGCACCTTAACCACTATGCCGCCTACTGCCAACAGGAAAGAGAAAAGGAAGAGAAGGGACTGTGGTATTGACTGTATGTGTGGGGTACATTCTCCTCCTGCTCTCTCTCTAATACATGTGTCCTCTGGCAACTAAAAAAAATAAGCAGTGGGCCAGGACTAGCATGTGGCATGGTGGTTAAGGGCGCTGAACTCCCACATGGCCAACTGTGGTTCAAGTCCTGGACCTGGTGGCTTGCTTTCTCACTTTCCCTCTCTCTCGTTCTGTCCTCTCTGGTCAAATTGAAATTAATTAATTAATTTAATACTCTGTAGTTCAAGTCCTGAACCCCGTGGCTTGAGAATCATGTCAGGAGTGTGTGTGCATGCCTGGAATCCCAAGAGGAGGTCGGAGGAGAAGGGACTGCAGCATGGTCATCCCCTTTGGGGGGTGAATTTTCACTTTCCTTCTCTCTCTCTGTCTCTGGCAAGTGCACACACTCTATAGCAAAAACTAAAAAAAAAAAAAAAGAAAACAGAAAACACTCCCCAAAAGACTCCCAAAAACCTCCAATAGTTTATATCAACCTTTTTATTTTCATTTTATTTTATTTGAGAGGTTTTCGCTCAACCTTTTTATTTTTTAAGTTCTTGTCTTTCTCTGCTCCCACTTTCAGTGGCACCATGTTATTATAAGTATTATGTATCCAGGATTTATGCCTCAAATCAAGGCATCATTAAAGTAATTTAGAATGATAAAATAGTTTTCGTGGAAAAATGATGCTTTATGGTCACAATTACCTCCAAAAAGTAATTATGCTCCAATTATTCTGGCATGTCATGCTTCAGCAATTACAGTAGTAGGGTTTTGACACGTGGCGATTTCTTTTTTTTTTTTTTGGGGAGGTTTTTGCCATAGGGCACGTGCGCTCACCAGACAGACAGAGAGAGACAGAGACAGAAAGCGATAAACCACCCACCAGGGGGGTTGGCCACACCACAATCCCTTCTCCTCCGTTCTCCTCTCGGGATCTTGGGTACGTACGCACACGCGCCTGGCATGTTTCAGGCCACCAGGTCCGGGACGCGAACCGCGTTCGACTACATGGGAGTCCAGTGACATAGCCATTACGCTAACTGCTGGTCCCACATATAGCGATTTTTTAAGTTAGGCAAATGTGAAACGCTATGGCTGTTCCCGTTTTAGTTTAGATTGCAGCAAAACTCAGATAATGGCTTTACTTGTTCAGTTCTCATAACCAGCCCACAGTCTGCAGATGAAATCAGTGGAAGTGTAAATCAAAAGGTCAGACCTTTACCAACCTAGAAGTCTGTGCAATTAACCTAAGTCTTTAATTCAGTGAAATCATAATTTTATTGGAAATCTTAGTACTTTCATGATCATTTTTGCTCTAAAAATTATCCTTTTTTAATTTTAAGAATTATTTTATTTATTCATTTATTTTAATTTGAACAGAGAGACAGAAAGAGAGAGGAAGCAAGCCATCAGGTCCAGGACTTGAACCATGGTCAGCCATGTGTGAGTATCCAGCACCTTAACCACCACGCCACCCCGCTGGTCCCTAAAATGACCATCTATTTTGAAAAACTTATCTTGAGAGGTTTTTTGTTTGTTTTTGCTATAAGGTGCGTGCGCTCACCAGACTCCATTCTCCTCTTGGGATCTTGGGCACACACGCACACGCACCCAGAGTGAGTTTAAGCCACCAGGTCTGGGACTGGAACCATGGTCGACTACATGGGAGTCCAGTGATATAGTCCTGTGATGTAGCCATTACACCAACTGCTGGTCCCTCTAAAAGTATAATTTAATATCGAATCAAGATGCAGTTGGGACCAGCAGTTAGCGTAATGGCTATGTCGCTGGACTCCCACGTAGTCAACCGCGGTTTGAGTCCTGGACCCGGTGGCTTAAACTCACTCTGGGTGCGTGTGCGTGTGTGCCCAAGATCCCAAGAGGAGAATGGAGTAGAAGGGATTGCAGCGTGGCCATCACCCAAAAAAATAACATTTGATGCAGGTTTTCAGAGATGCGATTTATCAGGTTGAGGAATTTGCCTTCTACTCCTTCAAAATGGATTTGAAATTTATCAAATATAATTTACTTGTTGGCTCTACATACAACTTTTAAAAAGAAGTATTTAATTGTATTTATTCATTTATTTTAATTTGACCAGAGAGAGACAGAGAGAGGGAAAGTGAGAAAGTAAGCCACCAGGTCTGGGGATTTGAATCATTGTCAGCCACGTGGGAGTGTCCAGCACCTTAACCACCATGCCACCTGCTGTGCCCTACATATAATTTTTTTGAAAGATTTTTGCTATAGGGAGTGCATGCTTGCCAGAGACAGAAAGAGAGGAGCTTTCCTGGGTGGATGGCCATGCCACTATCTCTTCCCTTCCATTCTCCTTTTGGGATTTTAGGCACACACACACACACACGTGCCTGGTGTGTGTTTCAAGCCACCTGGCCCATGGGACTGGAACTGTGGTTGATCATGTGGGAGTCCAGTGTCTTAACCACTTAGCCACCTGCTGACCCCGAACCTACATATAATTTTTATGGATTACATTTATGGGTTTTCTTTAAAACAATTTTTGTGGCTTCGTTTTTAAAGTTTTTGCTACAGGGCATATGTGCTCACCAGAGGTATAAAGAGCGAGAAGAAAGTGAGAAATCACCTTTAAGAGGGAATGACCAAACTTCAATGTCTTCTCCATTCCCCTTCAGTATTTTGAGCATACATGCACATGTGCCCAACATGTCTTTTTCCCTAAGAATTACTTTATTTAACATTGTTGTTATTAGTATTATTTTAATTTGACCAAGAGAGAAAGTGAGAAAGCAAGCCACCAGGTCTGGGACTTGGACCACAGTCAGTCACATGGGAGTCCAGAGCCTTTAAACACTGCGCCACCTGCTGGCCCCATCCAGTATTTTCCAAGCCACTGGGTCTGAGACTTGAACTTTGAAGTTGGCCATGTGGGATGCAGCCACTCCAACCACCATGTCACTGTCTAGCCTCTGGATTTTTATATGTAGAGTTCAAAGCAGTGTGTGTATGGTATGCTTCTGGTTTTTGAATGAAGCAAGGGAGAGTCTTGGGTGAAAAAAATTAAAAATGAAACTTCTACAAATATGCAAATGGCGTAAAATGTATAGCACAGGTCATTACCACTGTCATGCACATTTGTGGGATGTTTCTTGATTCATTCATCCCTTCTTCTGCTCATGGGACCCCGATTGTCCACTAGAGAGCACCCCTTCTCAGCCACGCAGAGCTTTGGAGCTGAATGTCAGCTGCAGAGCTGAGCTGACTGGTTACAACAGTTCCAGTCAGGCAGGAGCTTGCGCCTGGGTTCTGGGGATGGTGGCTAGGATTCCAGTAGGAGCTACTGGAAGAGCCCCTTTCTTCTTTGGAATGGGCAGAATCGCTTAAGTATGCCTCTAGGAGGGCACACCTCGGGGCGAAGAGACCACCTGTGTGGACCGGCGGTTTAGGTGGGCTCTGCAGAAGGACCAGCGGAGGTTGGGCTAGAAACTACATCTTTGGAGACTCCAAGTAGCTGGGCCAATGCTTAAAGCTAGCAGCTGTCAGTTTTGAGGGTTCGGATTCCTTACGTGTATTTGAATCTCACTTCCTGGCACCCACGCTGGAGAGTTCTAGTGTACACACTCACAGTCCGCACCCAGAGAACCACTGTGCACTCTTAGGGTTTATTTCTTCTCATATATTAAAATACACCCACACGTAGTCACCTTACTTTATTTTTTTCACTTTTACAAAATTGAACAAAATATATATACTCTTCAGAAATATTTTTTTAAATTAAAAAATTATTTAATTTTTAAAATGTATTATTTTTAAATTTGACCAGAGAGAGGCACACTCAGAGAGAGACAGGGAAAGTGAGAAAGCAAGCCTCCAAGTCTGGGACTTAAACTGTGGTTGGCTATGTGAGAGTTCAGTGCCTTAACCACCATGTCACCCACTGGCCCCTTCAGAAATATTTCAGCTCATAACATTAACATCTGTCTGAGTCAAGCAAATCTATTACCATCATTTGAAATTACTGTATAGTATTCCATTCTAGAAATATACGACAGTTTAACAAATTTCCTACTAAGGAACATTCATAGTTTTCTCATTTTTTTTCTCTATTATAAGTGTAACATTTTATATACTTGTTCTGTTATTCCTTTAGGATACATTTCTAAAAGTGAAATTGCCAGGTCACGACAGAGTGTGTACATTCTTCAGGCTTTGATATATCTTACCAACTTACACCCCAAAAGGGACAATTTACACTCCCGTCGGCATGGGAACTGGGATGTATGTTAGAGGGCTGGGAAGAGTTGACTTACTAAAAGGAAATACTAATTTATTTACTGAACAGTCATAGCACCATGGTAGGTGCTGGGGTACAGGGCTGAGCAAGGACGTCTAAACTTGGCCCTTCATGTTCTTTCTTCTCCCACCATGGCAGCTTGGGGAACAGCTCCCTCCACACCAGTGCTACCTAGATGACTTCGGCGAGGACTTGGGAGATGGTGGAGTTGCATCTCGGTACACACATCACCGGATGGTGCTTTGTTAACCCACTTTCCTTGCCGTGCCCTCTCCCGCACATATGGGCTAGAACCCTGGAAACCTGACCTCCCAGACTCCCTTGCAGCCCTCTGCTGGGGGCAGCCTGTGGAAGTGCTGGTAAGAGGAAGGAGGGGGAGGCAGAAACCAGGTATCCTCAAGAGACGCAGACTGCCGTGGAGGCCAGCGCTGCAGAAGGGGCCCAGGCGCACAGGCTGCTGCTAGGACAGCGGCAGACGCACCCCGTCTGCAGAGCAGCCAGGAGGCACGTGGGGCACGAGTGCGGCTGTGCAGGGGGGCTGCAGAGGCTCCTGTAGTTCCCCAGCTCTGGGATTCGACATTCCCTGCCGACTCTTTCACCCCATTTAGCATTTTGTAAGCTGAATCCCGAATTTCGTTTGAAGTCTTTAGAGCAGTTTTGCTTTCCTGATTGACGGACCAGTGCAGTGCTCAAATTACCCTTGACAATCAGACAGAGGTGAGTTGTACCTGAGAGTGAAACAGCATCTCCAGCAGTCTGACAGAGCCAGTTCACCCAGAAACAGCAGAAGAGACAGCTGCTTTTTGTTTGTACTTTTTCAGTTGAACAGATACAAGTTTCACTTTGAGGGGACGTTGTCCATGAAAACGCCTCTCTCTGAACCGCAGACTCACCCTCGGGAAGATGACAAACTTATGCCAGGAGAGGAGTGAGGGTACAGAGGCTGGCTGAGGGACAGCAGACCTACGCCTTCCACCTGCCACCTCTCATCTAACCCTTGGCTCCACCGAGAGCACGCGTCTCAGCTGTCGGGAAAGTGGCATGCATTATTACCAGTATTTCTAAAGACTTGTTATAGGATGCATGTGCTTGACAGAGAGAGACAGAGACAGTGAGAGGGCAAGTGAGAAATTACCCTCTAAAGGGGACGGCCAGGCCCCAATCCCTTCTCTTCCTTTCTCTTCCTGGGATTTTGGGCACACATGCACATGTGCCTGGCAAGAGTTTCAAGCCACCAGGTCTGGGACCCACACTGTGGTCGGCCATGTAGGAGGCTAGCACCCTAATCACCATGCCTCCTGCAGGCCCTGGCATGCATTATTAAAATTGTCAATTTTCTTTCTTTTTAAAATTTTAAAATTTGCGTGTGCACTCACTGGAGACAGAGAGAGAGAAAGTGAGAAATAGCCACCCTCGGGGAAATGCCACAATCCCTTCTCCGCTCAGGATTCTGGGCATGCGTGCACGTGCACCGGTGGCACAAGCTGCAAGGCCCAGGACTCAAACCACGCAACTGGCCACGTCGGATTCAGTTACCTTCACCACCATGCCACCTGGCTGGCCCAACTTTCTCATTTTTGCTGAGCCCACCAACACAGTTAAACCCACATAATGAAACTTGTATAGGACATGACTCTAGTCTCTGCCAGAATTAGAAGAACTTGGGATACTTTTGATTTATAAAACCATTAGTTGTGATTATTTACCTTTTTTTTTTTAAAGAATTAGTTTTTTTAATAAATTTATTACCTATTTACTTTAATTTGACCAGAGAGGGACATACACACACACAGAGAGAGAGAAAGTGAGAAAGCAAGCCGTCAGGTCTGGTACTCGAACCGCAGTTGGCCATGCAGCAGTCCAGTGTCCTTCAGCACCACACCATCTGCTGGCCCCAGTTGTGATTATTTTCAATATAATGGTACAAAAATATTAAATCAACCCGTATACTCCTCTGTTCTTTTCATATTCAAACAAGCTCCAATAAGAATGTTAGCACACTTTAACGCTCCGCATAAAAGCTATCATTTCATCATTCCTTTGGCCATTGTATGTTCCTTAATAAACAGCAATACCAAAATAGCTTTATTAACAGATGTATATAAATATAACCAGCTAGGAAAAGACAGGAGACAGTACCCTCTGCTTAGCTATGACTGTCCACATCTTCCTCCTCACTGTCGTCCTCACAGTAAAAGATGTCTCTAAACAAGAAAGCTTGCTTGGGTGCTGCAGGAGCCTGGAGCTCTGTGCCGTTCTTCTCCATCTTCTTCTCTAACTTCTCTTTAAGCAAAGGGAGACTTGTCTCATAGAGGTAGTCAATAATCTCTACAGAAAAGAAACGTAATTTTACAAAGAAATTTAATCTTTACAAAGCCTCTTACCAGCAGCAAAGGATGCAGGATGCTGCAAACGGTAACGCACTCTCTGCCCTCGCTACTTCTGTGTGCGGGCCCCATTCTGACTGGTTTACCTACGTGCACTCAATTGCAAAAATCCTATGAGGCAGCACTATTTTTTTTAAATTTAACTTTATTTATTTATTTATCTTATTTTGACCAGAGAGGGACTGAGAGGGAGAAAGTGAGAAAACAAGCCACCAGGTCTGGGACTCGAACCATGGTCGGCCATGTGGGAGTCTGGTGCCCTTAACCACCATGCCACCTGCCAGCCCCGGCAGCTCTATTTTTTACTCTTTTTTTTAGAGGTTTTTGCTATAGGGCGCGTGTGCTCGCCAGACAGACAGAGAGAGACAGAGAGACGAAAAGTGAGAAATCACCCCCCAGGGGGGATGGTCACGCCGCAATCCCTTCTCCTCCATTCTTCTCTTGGGGTCTTGGGCACACACGCACACGCGCCCGGCGTGAGTTTAAGCCACCGGGTCCGGGATGAGAACCGCAGTCGACTACGTGGGAGTCCGGCGACATAGCCATTACGCTAACTGCTGGTTCCTTTTACCCATTTTTCAAATGAGGGAACTGACATATAAGGACAACAGGAATCTGCCCAAGGTCATAGACTCAATAAGGATCCTCAAACCCGGCTGTGAGGTGCTGAGTGCAAAGAAGTATTTATCACACACCCAAGGGTCAGGAGTCAGGAGGGCATTCAAACCAGTGGTTCAAGGCAAAACACAGGAGCTGGGCAGACCACGCGAGATTCTCCTGAAAGCTGGTCTCACAAAACACCTGGGCTCTGAACTCAGCCTGGAGCTTAAGATTTGTTAGATCTGGGTGTGATCCAGAAGTCTACTTTCTTTTCCTTTTTAAAAATTTTGCTATAGGGCACGTAGGGGGATGGCCATGTCAATCCCTTCTCCAGGGTCCTCTCAGGATTTCTGGCATGCATACACAAGCGCACAGAACATTTTTCTTTTTCTTTGTTGGGGGAGAAGTTTTTGCTATAGGGTGCGTATGCTCGCCAGAGACAGAAAGTGAGAAATCACCCCCCAAGGGGGGATGGCCACACTGCAATCCCTTCTCCTCCATTCTCCTCTTGGGATCTTGGGCACGCACATACATGTGCCCAGCGTGAATTTAAGCCACTGGGTCTGGGACTTGAACTATGGTCAACTACATGGGAGTCGAGCGATGTAGCCATTACGCCAACTGCTGGTTCTAACACCCAGAGTGTTTTTCAAGCTAAAGGTCCAGGACTTCGGCCGTGTAGTCGTTAGGATCCGGCAGCCTCAACCTCCGTGCTACCAGCTGACCCTTGGATTTTTTCTAAAGTTGTCAGAGGGCACAAACACTTGCCAGAGAGACAGAAGAGAAGAGAAGAGAAGAGGAGAGAAGAGGAGAGGAGAGGAGAGGGAGAAAGCACCTTCTAATGGGGCACAGTCACACCGTAATCCCTCCTCCACTCCACCCTGTCAAGATCTGGGGCACATGCACACATCTGATCATCTGATGTGGTTTTGAGCCAGGGGCTGGAATTAAAATTGTGGTTGACCACATGGGACCCTGTTCCCTTAACCCCGAGGACACGTGGCAGGTCCTGTCTATGTAACAAGTTGCCCACGTGGCTCTGACGGCCTGGGTTTGGGACTTACATCTAAACCTCTCATAAGTGGCTACAGAGAAGCACCTAGGCGGGGCCAGCAGGTGGTGGTTAAGACGCTGAACTCTGACATGGCCAGCTTCAGTTCAAATCCTGGACTCAGAGGCTTGAAACTCATGCCAGGCTCACGTGTGTGGGTATCTCAAAATTCCTAGAGGAGAATGGAGAAGGGATTGAGGCATGGCCATCCCCCCTCGGGGTGATTTCTCGCTTTCTGTCTCTTTCTGACTCTCTGGTGAACACACGTGCCCTCTAGCAAAAATCTCTCTCTAAAAAAAGGGAAGGATTGGGCAACTTACGTTCCCTCTGGAAGAGCATATGTACATGTGTGCGTTCTGTGGTATGAGTGCGCACAAGTGCTGTGAAGTGCATGTGTGACAGCAACACTGGCAGCGCTCAGCTGTCTACGGCGTGGTCTAAGTACCCGGCACTACGGTGACCACACTTTACATGTTCCTTCCTTGTTTTTCTTTTTCATAGAGTTTTTTTGCTTGTGTGTTTTTTTGCTATAGGGCATGTGTGCTCACTGGAGAGACAGAAATAGAGACAGAAAGTGAGAAGTCACCCGCTGGGGGATGGTCGCTACATTCCCTTCCCCTCCATTCTCCTCTCAGAATTTTGTGCGTGAACACACATGCACCTGGCGTGAGTTTTAAGCTGCTGGGTCCAGGACTTGAATAGTGGTCAACTACGTCCAGCGACATGACCGTTAGCCATCTGCTGGACCCACATGTTTTGATTTCATTTAGTACTTTTGAAAATTCTGTCAGGTAGGGATTATAACGTGCCAGTTGTCACCATCGATGAAGCTGAGGCTCTAAGAAGTTAAGTCACCTGCCCAAGTGGCTCACACTAGGATGTGGCACCCACCATCATGTACCTAACTGTACGAACTTCAGACTACTGACCTGGAAAAGTCTTCTTTTGCCAAAAGGGAACACACGCAGCTTTCAGCTTATAAAATTTAGTTTGAACGTAAGATGGAGGAACATCACTTTGGAAAGGAAAAGATAAAAATAAAGTGTCAGTTTCAATACCACATAGTAAGCACATTTACTAAGATGAAGTCTATAGGCATAAGTAGGTTTCTTGAACATGAAGTCCTTATGTTGAAACATGTGTGATAAAAAGCTATTGCACACTTGGTTAAAGAACACACAAAAGGGTGCCAACAGGTGGCATGGTGGTTGAGGCAATGGACTCCCACATGGCCGATCACGGTTCGAGCCCCAGACCTGGTGGCTTGCTTTCTCACTTTCCCTTTCTCTCTCTCTCTGTCTTTCTCTAGTCGAATGAAAAAAAAAAAAAATAAAATAAAATAAATGAATAATTATTATTATTTTTTAAAAGAACACACAAAAGAAAGAAAATTGGTAATACAAGACAGATTCTGTTTAAATTAAAATAAATTACAAGGGGTTAGCAGGTGACATGGTGGTTAAGGTGCTAAACTTTTGGGGTTTCAGTCCCAGACCTGGAGACTTAAAAAAATCATTCCAGGATATGGGACCAGCAGTTAGTGTAATGACTGTCACTGAACTCCCACGTAGTCTTGGACTCTCTGGCCAGCAAAATGGGAAGCCAGATAAACCACTACCCTGCCCTTTTTAAAAATAATTAACTTTACTTACTTATTTTTTTAAAGAATTATTTTATTTAACTTTATTTATTTATTCATTTGTTTATTTAAATTTGACTAGGAGAGGGACAGAGAGAGAAAGCAAGACGCCAGGTCTGGGACTTGAACCAATCGACCATGTGGGAATCCAGCGTCTTTAACCACTACGCCACCTGTCAGCCCCTCATTATTAGTATTTTAAAATTTGCTACAGAGCACGTGCACTCACGAGAAAAAAGGAAAGAGAGAGAGAGAGAGAGAAAGTGAGAAAGCAAGTCGCCAGGTCCAGGACTCAAACCAGGTTGGCCATGTGGGAGTCCAGTGCCTTACCCCACACATCACCTGCTGGCCCCAAGCCTCTTCCCTTTATAAATCACCCAGTCTCAGGTATTTCTCAGGTTTAGCAACACGACAATGGAAAAATTTGTATCATGTAAAATTTGAAAGGCGCCAAGGCTGTAAAGTATGTAAAATTTACCAGAAAGTACCGGTAATCAGAGGCAGTGAACACAGAGGTTCAATAAAGATGGCTAGGTGCTGGCAGGTGCTGAAGTGGGGTTCACACGGGGTTCATTTATTTGGTATCTGTCTATAATTTTCCTGATAAAAAGTTCCAGAAATAGTTGGGCGTTGTTGATAAGGGAGTGCTTAGAGGAAAACGTGTAGCTTTAAGTGTGTATTAGCAATGAAGAAAAAAGAGGCCAGCAGGTGACATGATGGTTAGAGGTGCTTGACTCTCACATGGCCAACCATGGTTCAGGTCCCAGACCTGGTGGCTTGCTTTCTCGCTCTCCCTTTCACTCTCTCTCTCTCTGGTCAAATTAAAAAAATATATATATATAGTAATAACAAATAGAATTAAATAAATAAATCTTCTAAAAAGAAAAAGAAATGAAGAAAACTTAAAAAGAATCCATTTCAAAAATCTAAAAAACATTAGCAAGGAGGCTGGTATGTGGTATAGTGGTTAAGGTACTAGACTCCACATGGCTGACTGTGGTTCGAGTCCCGGACCAGGCGGCTTCCTTTCTCACTTTCCCTCTCTGGTCAAATTAAAAAAATAAATAAACATTTAAAAAAATTATGATAAATAAAATAATTTTAAAATGAGAAAATAAACTCAAAGAAGGATATAATAGAAATGTAGACATTACAACAATCATACAAGGGTCAGTACAATTGAGACTGGTCTCTGAAAAGGTAATCTCTGCTAACTCTTGTTCAGGAATGGAAAGAAAAGGTATCAATAACTAACTTGAGTGTGAGAACCAGAACGCCACTCAGACCTGCAGACACTCGGCATAAACTCTCGGGAGGACCCACAGACAGTGGTTTCTGTGCGGCCACGTAGATGCTAGGGTGTGGGTGCTTTCTGCTGTTTCATGTTTCTTCAAGTGTAGATTATGTAATCTATTACCCCTCCCCTGAGAAATGATGAACAACCTCAGGGCCAGCAGGTGGCATGGTGGTTAGAGGCGCTGGACTCCCACATGGATGACCACGGTTCAAGTCCCGGACCTGGAGGCTTCCTTTCTCACTCTCCCTCTCTCTCTCTCTTGCTCTAGCTCTGTCCCTCTCTGGTCAAATAAATAAATAAATAAATAAATAAATAAAGTTAAATTTTTAACTTATGGGTGTGGAACACAATATTCAACTTTGTACTTGTATTCTTTAAAAAAAAAAATAATAGAATTAGAGACCAGCAGAGGGCATAATGGTTATGTCACTGGACTCCCATGTAGTCCACTGCAGTTTGAGTCCCCAACTGGGTGGCTTAAATTCACACCGGGTGCATGTGCATGCGTGCCCAACATCCCAAGAGAAGAGTAGAGGAGAGAGGATCACAGCGTGGCCACCCCCCCTGGGGGGGGACTTCCTGGTTTTTGTCTCTGTCTCTCTCTGTCTTTCTGGTAAGCACAAGCACCCTATAGCAAAAAAAAAAAAAACTCTCAAAAAAAAAAAAAATCTATCAATCTATCTATCTATCTATCTATCTATCTATCTATCTATCTATCTTTAATTTGACCAGAGAGGGAGGGAGGGTAAGAAACCAAGCCACCAGGACTGGGACTTGAGCTACAGTCAGTCATGTGGGAGTCCAGTGACTTAACCACCACACCACCTGCCAGCCCCTATATTTGCATTCTTACATACGACTGAAAATTCCTGCCCAGGAACTGCCCACACCAGCATCGAGGGCTGCAGCATAGCAGGGTCACCTGGGGCCCCACCTGTCCAGTTCCATTAGACCCCCCAGGGTGTAGCACTGCCTCTTTTTTTTTTTTTTTTAATAATTATTTATTTAGTTCCATTTGTTGTTATTACTTTTAAAATCTGACCAGAGAGAGAGAGAGAGAAAAGGAAAGGGAGAAAGCAAACTGCCAGGTCCAGGACTTGAACTGCAGTCAGTCATGTGGGAATCCAGTGCCTTTAGCCACCACGTCACCTGCTGGCTCAAGCACTAGTATTTTTAATAAGTTGCAAGATGATTTAACATGCGAACTGGGCTGAGAACCACTGAGTTAGTTGACAAAGGTTCAAATCAGACACGCGAAGATAACCAGAGCCCTTGCCGATTTTGGAGCATGGTACGTCGTCAACACATCACCTGATCTAGCTGGGCTGTGTGGCAGTCTAACCCTGAAGGCCCGCTCAGCTCATCTACGCCATCGCCCTCTTACTCAGTGCCCTCCGGCCCTCCTGGCCACCTTTCAGCTCCTTGGGCCTGCCGAGCCAGCGCCTATTTCAAGACTCTTGCATTCACTACACTCCGCATGGAACACTCTTCTTTCTTATCTAAACATGGCTACTAGATTTCCATTTTTAAAATTTAATTTTTTCCCCTAGCTTTCTGTAGGGTACATGTGTTTACCAGAGAGAGAGAGGATGAGAGAGAGAGAGAGAAAGTGAGAGATCACCCCGTGAGGATGGCCATGCTGCAATCCCCTCTCCTCCATTCTCCTCTTGGGATTTTGGGCACATATGCACAGTGCCCACTCTGTTTTTCAAGCTGCCAGGACTGGCACTCAAACTTCAGTCAGCCACATGGGACCTGGTTACCTTAACCTCCATACCACCTGCTGGCCCCTGTGCTTCCATTTTAAAAAGTCTGCCCTGAGAACCAGCAGTTAGCGTAATGGCTATGTCGCTGGACTCCCATGTAGTCGACCGCGGTTTGCGTCCCGGACCCGGTGGCTTAAAACTCACGCCGGGCGCATGTGCGTGCGTGCCCAAGATCCCAAGAGGAGAATGGAAGAGAAGGGTTTGCTGCGTGACCATCCCCCCTGGGGGGTGATTTCTCGCTTTCTGTCTCTATGTCTCTCTCTGTCTGTCTGGCGAG